CACTTCTAACTGTTTTACCCAAACTCTTTCAAAGTCATCATGCACTCTCACATTACTCCTAAAATATTAGGTTATTCCCCTCTGGCTTGTGTACTGCCTTGAGATCCTTGAGATCTTTCTGAACTCTAGCATGTTAGAGCTGGCCTTTCCATACTGCACCTAAATCAGTTATTATTTGAGAAAAGGTCTAGGTGTGAGCACTGCTCGGGATCCTTCAGATCTTTAGGCAACTCTGACACACCTGGACACAAAATTGTCTATGAAACTTGGTATTTGAGGCTATTGGAGGCTTGGAAGTCATTTGGGCCTACTGCAGACTCCCTATAGATTAACTTCTGTTCATTTATATATTTTAATTCATTGGTCTGTAATAATTATTGTAAACAACATTGGGGTGATTAGTGAAATTGGGTGGGTAGTTATATACATGTTGGGTAAACCGGGTAGATATCATGCCTATAGGATTGTGTTAATTCAAATGTACTTGCTATGTTTGCTTTACTTCCACAATATTAGAGACAATGCATATAGGATCTAAATGGACTTATAATTAGATATCATACCTATAGAGATAAAGTAATTAAAGTTCAGTTTTGTTACAACATGTATTCACATTCGTCTTCTTAGATATCATGCCTATAAGTTCAAGAGTCAGCTTTAATAACTAGATACCATGCCTATAGGGATGAAAATCAGCTCTAATAAAAATCATGCCTACATAACTTAAAATTAGTTTAGTTAAACAAATCAGTCTAATTAATGTTTGAATTAGTTTAATTAACTATTCGTTTCTTTAAATGAGTTTTCAAACACTGCCTTAAATTAATGCCGCTAGAAAGTATGTCTATAGGATCTCAAGTTGTCCGTTTTAAAAACTGCTCATTGTTTTACTGCATTACTAATCAATATAGATACCATACTTTTAGGAATCACCATTATGCGTTTAGGCAAGCCTCTAGGGCGATTTGAATTCTGCAACTATAAAAACTATGCTTCATTATTTGAGACTGTGCAGATTCAACAGGTATAAAATCAGTAGGCAAGCTAAATAGGTTTTTAACACTTTGTCCTAATTCAATACTGTATAATCCCTGCTCACCTAGATATCATGTTCTAGGATTTTCTCTTAAATACATGACTGTTATTTGAAGACGTGCATTTATTTGTTATATTTGTGGAGGTGACTGTGAACTTGTAATTTGTTCTCTTTAAATGCAGTCCTAATTATTCTTGATTGATGCCTAGACTTTTTATCCTTTGAAACCTTAGGAAGGTCTAGAACTGTTCAAAAGTAGAGGTCCTAAATACCTCCAGGGCCACGAGGAAGGGACGGGTAGTGCACGCACAGGATATTTTCAGGGTTGCTAGAGCGCTTTAGGCTATGACCAAGGGGAGGGAACTGGGTAGTAAGGATGTGATGACTACGCGCTAATGTCATGCGTAGCCCCTCATTGAGGAGTGTTTACCGGGCATTGTATGGGGTGATCCTGTAGGTTAACCAACCTAGGACTCCTCTTTCCCAATTCCTGATATTTAAACTTTACTTTTTCTCTATATATGCAACTTGTTTTCTCCTTTTGTCTTATTACTTGAGTCATACAATGTCCAAAACGTGCCTTATTTGCAAGTATGTATTTAAACTATTTATTTGTTTAAAGGACTAATTCATATAAGTATAAGTTCGGTCGGGACCCACTGTTGTGGATCGAGAGGGGTGCCTAACACCTTTCCCTCAAGGTTATTTCGAGCCCTTACCCTAAATCTCTGGTAATACAAACTAGTCTAAAAGTTAATCGTTCTAGCTGCCCTAACGCACCATAATCCATTAGGTGGTGACTCTTTAAAAACCCAAATTCCCAAAAGGAAATGAGTTATTACCCCCCACGAATGTCGGAACCCGGACTTCTCTCTCTCCGTGGAGGAAAAAAAGGGGGCGCGATGGCTCATAGGCAGTTGTTATGGGATAACCTTAAATACACTTTTGATAGGTATAAAGGACCATGGTTAATCGGGGGGAGGGGGGATTTTAATGAAATAATAGATTCAGATGACAAGTTTGGGGCAGGTATATCAATCAAAAAAGGGCTAAATCCCTAATAAATTATCTTAACTATTGTAACTTAATAGATCTGGGATTTAAGGGATGTAAATACACATGGTTCAACCATCGTAGGAGAAAAGGGGGCCTAATTATGGAAAGGTTAGATAGGGTATACTCCAATTCCGAGTGGTTACAAGAGTTCAACAATGTTACAGTAACACATCTACCTAAATTACACTCAAACCATAACCCCATTTTGGTCAATCTTAATAATAAAATTAATAATAACCATGCTAGGCCTTTTAGACTTGAAACTTTTTGGTGCTCTCACCCAGATTTCCCAAGAGTGGTGTCTGATAGTTGGGCAAATAGGGATATAATTGATGGGACTGAGTCTTTCCACCAAAATATATTAGAATGGAAACAAGTTACCTTTGGGAATATTTTTGCTAGGAAAAGAAAAATATTAAAGCGTATTAACGGTATTCAAAATTCTCCTAGCTACCAAACTAGTCAATACCTTAGAGATCTAGAATTAAAACTTGTTGAAGATTATGACACAATCCTTAAACTAGAAGAGGACTACTGAAAATTACGCTCTAGGGTAAATTGGTTAAATGAAAGGGATGCAAATACTAAATTCTTTCATATTCAAGCCACTAACTGGAGAAATAATATTGTCTTTTTTAAAGATAACTATGGAAATTTGATCGAAAATCAAACTGCCCTAATAACTTATATTTCAAACACTTCCAGAGTATCTTTACTACGTCTCATGAAGATACTAACTGGAAAGCCATTCAATCAGATAACACTACCTACAATAAAGTTGACATATCCGGCCTTGATAGTAAATTAAGAAATCATGAGATTAGAAAAGCTATTTTCTCCTTCAAACCATACAAGGCTCCTGGACTGGATGGTCTACACCCCTTCTTCTTCTAAAAGTTCTGGCCAATTCTAGGCAGTAAGGTCATAAACTTGTGCCAAAAAATCTTTGACACAAGGGTTATGCCTCATCAAATTAACAAAACTTACTTATATTTGATCCCAAAATTCATTAATGCAAACCAATTAAAAAATTTTAGGCCAATCAGCCTATGTAACACGTTGTACAAAGTGGTCACAAAAGTTATTGCTAATCGCATCAAGCCTTTCCTAAAACATTTTATTAACGATCAACAAGGTAGCTTTGTTAAAAATAGGCGAGCTAGTGACAATGCTATCATTATCCAAGAAATGCTAAAACAGTTTAACACTCACAAAGGAAAAGAGAATTGCATTCTAAAGCTCGACCTAGAAAAAGCTTTTGATAAATTAGAGTGGTCATATGTTTACAGAACTCTAAAAAATTTCAACTTTCCTCCTAATATATCTTCCCTAATCCTTAATTGTATATCAACTAGTACTATCTCCGTTTTAGTGAATGGAAATAAAACGGAGGAATTATACCCTACTAGGGGAATTAGACAGGGAGACCCAATGTCCCCCTATCTTTTTATCTTATGCATGGATATTTTGTCCAAAAATATTGAACATCAAGTTGATATCCATAATTGGGACCCAATTAGACTAAACAAAAAATGTCTTCCCTTGTCCCACTTGTTCTTTGCAGACGACCTAACTTTAATGGGTCGTGCAAATAATAAAACAATCACTACTATGTGGAATAGTATGGAACATTTCTGTTACCTATCCAGGCTTGATATAAACAAAGATAAATCCAAATTATTAGTGTCAAAGTCTTGCACTAATGATAATATCACAATGGCCACAAACACGTTTGACATGAAACTTAGCAAATCATTTGATACTTACCTAGGTTTTTCCATGCTCCAAAACCACCATAGGCATAAAGAATACTAACCTATAATTGATAAAATACGGGCAAGGTTGAATAATTGGAATGTTAAATGGCTTAGCATGGCGGGAAGGTGCACTTTAATAACATCTGCTCTTAACACAATCCCAAATCACCTAATGCAATTATCTTTACTTCCTAGTAAAACTCTGAAGGAAATTGATAAGATTCAGAGAGATTTCCTATGGGGAACTACTAGTGAAAAGAAAAACATTCACCTAATTGGTTGGAATGTGGTAACACACCCTAAGGATGAGGGATCTAAAAATATAGCCCTTTTGGCCAGCCTAGCTTGGCGTATTCTTACTAACCCGTCATCCCTCTGGGCTCGTGTTCTCATTAGCTTGTATGGGTATATTAGTAGAACTGGGGGTTGCTCTAATACTTGGAAAAGCCTATTAAAGGGCTGGACCATTTGTAAACAAGGTATAAGGTGGCCAGTAGACCAACAACCAAACATGACTATTTGGGACACAAACTGGATCCCAAACTTCAACAACCTTAGAGATAATATAATTGGTCCCCTAACCTATAATGAAAATTGCTTAAAAATGAAAGACATCCGGAATAACAATGGATGAGATCTAAAAAAAATCTCTTTTGAGCTCCCTCAAAGCATTATTAATAATATCCATTCTTTATCTACAATATCCAACCCTACTCACATCAACAACCTCATCTGGAGCCCTAGTGGGTTATTTACAACTTCTTCCTATTATAGATTGATTGATAAACAATCCCAACCAGATAAAATATTCAATTGGATTTGGGGCACAAAATGTCCAAGGAAAATCCAGTTCTTCCTATGGAAATGTTATCACTCACGTCTCCCTACTAGAGAATACCTTGGAAAAATTGGTATCAACATAGACACAAACTGCCCCATATACAAGAACATGAATGAATCTACAATACACATCTTCTAGGAATGCACGATGGCTCAAATCTTTTGGCAAACCATGGGGGTATCCATAAATAACCAACTGGGTAGATGTTTTACGTAATAGAAACCCTAAAATAACCAACAAACTCATCACATGGGAAGAATATTTTCCATTTGTACTATGGGCGATTTGGAGAAACATAAATGAAAACAACATGAACAATACTAGCAACCATATCAACACGACCAACGTTATTAACCAAGCATTGGAATATCACTTGCTAACATCCAAGCCTACTAATAATAATATAAAAGTCAAGCTAAAAGTAAAGTGGCAGGCTCCTCCAAGGAATTGGTACAAACTCGATTTTGGTGGAGCCTTCAACAATAGCTGTTTACATGAAGGTATCAGTAGAATAATACGCAACAACAAAGGCGAATGGATGCTGGGATACTACGAGAAGTATCCCACAACATCACCCATCCAGGCTGAACTCCAAGCACTACGGCATGCACTTCAAATAATTATCAAGGAAAATATATTCCCAGTTGAAGTTGAAACAGATGCCATAGAGGTCATTCACTTCCTTTATGAGGATTATCCTACTTACAAAGATTTAATTCATGAATGCAGGTGGTTAATGGAGAAGGCAACGCAGCAATGGGAGATCATAATGAAGCATAGCTTTCGTTAGACCTATCAAATGGGTCGGGTCGACCCACGAACCGGCCCACATAACCCAATAAAATTGACCCTTTAACCGGCCCGTGACCCACAAAATCTTAACCGGACCAACCCATTAATTTAAGGGGCCTGGGTCGGGCTACAATATTTTGACCCACTGAACCGGACCGGACCCGAATCGGTAACTGACCCACAGGTCAACCGGCCCGGACCACCCTTATGAATGTGGTAGTAGAGCGGGTAATTGACTAATTGGACGTCGACCAGCTCAGTAAGATTTATTTTAATAAAATATTACATATATTTTTTATAAAAAGAAACTAAACCATTCAACCGGTGCTATCTACAATGGCTCGTGATTTTTTGGCGGTTCCGGTTTCAACTGTTGCTTCAGAAAGTGCATTTAGACATGCAAAATTACAACTTGGAGAGCGAAGATTATCTTTAAGTCCTCGCACTTTGGATGTCCTCGTTACTTTTAGAGATTGGATATATGCAGAAAGAAGAAATCAAGAAAATATAAATGACGATTTAGACTCAGTTGAAGATCTGACCATGTCCGATGTTGAAGGAGTGGATGGAGTAGCTAATGAGAATTAGAGTATATTATATTAGAATATCATTTTTCTTATGTATTAGATACAGAAATAATTGAATTCCATATTACTAAAGTATGATTTTTCTTTCATTTTTATTTTAATTGGCTTCAAGAACATGTAGTAATTTCAAGTTCGTATATAGATATAAAAGTTTGAAATTTTTATCATTTATTAGTTTTTAACTTTTTTTAATTAAATTAGATTTGGCCCATTAGGGCCCGGGTTAAGGGATTACGGGTTACGGGTCGGATCAACATGTTTTGATTAATGAGTCTAATCTGGACCGGCCCTATAAGAAAGTAAACTGGACCGGCCCGGTTAAGGATCCACGGGCCAAGAGTCAACGGGTTCGGGTCCGGGTCTAGTCGACCCATTTAACAGGTCTAGCTTTCGTGAAGGGAACTTGGTAGCACACTAGTTGGCAAAAGAAGCTCTAATGTCTCCTAGTTATAATAAACCCTATTATTTTGTATCACCACCTACCTTTGCAATGGATGCCTATTGCAAGGACCAGGATGACCATAAGTATGTTAGATCGTGTCCTATGAATGTGCGTAGTAATCTAGCGACATTAGCCAATGACAGTGCCTTAGAAGGCATTTCTCTAGTATGTACTAATGACAATGCTATGGGTCCCGTACCCTAGGTTGCTACTGTTATTATTATTACTAATATAAGTATCTTTTCCCTTAAAAAAAATTGTATCTAAATAATATTAAATATTGCTTCCTCTGGTCCACAATAAGTGACCTTTTGCCTTTTTATTTTGGTCCAAATAAGTGTCCATTTATATAATCAAGAAAAAATTTAATTTTTTTCCCAAAACTACCCTTACGTATGTATCCCTAAAAAGTTTTTTACTCCTCACATTAAATTATGCTGCAACATTTAATTAAGGTTAGTTTAGTCACACTAACTATTTTTGTCTAGAATTTAGTATTTCCTTAATGAGTGTGCCCAAGATAAATTGGTCACTTATTATGGATCAGAGGAAGTATTAATTATTAGATATTTAAAGTTCTTATTTTATTTTGGCACGACAATGACATGAGTTCGGTTTTTTTTTAAAAAAGTGAAAATTCATATTTATTGGGAGTGAAGCGTAATTATTTTTGTTATTATTGTTGCTAGATAATTAAAGTACATATTTTCTTATTAAAAATATTAATGATTATAATTGTTTAAAGAATAACGGTATATATATATATATATATTTAAAAAATACCTTTAAGAATTTTAGTGAATCTAAATCAATCAGCAGAGCTAAAAAAAAAAAATAGAAGACTAAGATTACTTCCCTAAGTTAAGGATAAATTTTTAATTTTGGATTCAAACAGTTTTTACTTATTTATTTTCATTATACTTTTTTTTCCTTAAAAAATGAAGACCACTTGTTCTTAAAGGGGTTTTCTGAAAGAGTGAAAGCAACCGATTCCTCCCTCTCTTCACTTCACTGTCTATATAATTATATTCATTCATGTAATCTTCCTATTCCTCACTCCTCAGAGTCATGGCGGAAGTAAACGTCGATATTGCTCAGCAATCAAGCCAAGGCCAAAACTTGCCACTCCAAGATCGAGTAGCCATCGTTACCGGCTCTTCTCGTGGCATCGGCAAAGCCATCGCCCTTCATTTAGCATCTCTGGGTGCTAAGCTCGTCATCAACTATTCCTCCAACTCCACAAAAGCCGACGACGTCGTATCCCAGATCAATTCCATCTCCAATTCCTCCTTACGTGCTATCGCCGTCAAAGCCAACATCTCTGACCCAGATCAAGTCAAATCCCTCTTCGACGCTGCAGAATCGGCTTTTCAATCGCCGGTCAACATCTTAGTCAACTCCGCCGCCGTGCTCGACGCTAAATACCCATCAATCCTAAACACAACGGTGGAGGACTTCGACAGGACCTTCGAAGTGAACGCACGTGGGGCTTTCATATGCTGCAAGGAAGGGGCGAGCAGAATCAAGCGCGGCGGAGGGGGGAGGATAATATGCTTAACGACATCGTTAGCGGCGGCGTTCAAGCCTGGGTACGGGGCTTACACGGCGTCGAAGGCGGCGGTGGAAGCGATGGTAAAGATACTGGCGAAGGAGCTGAAAGGGACTGGAATAACGGCGAATTGCGTGGCGCCGGGACCCATAGCAACGGATATGTTTTACAATGGGAGAACAGAGGAGATGATAAAGAGGGTAATTGATGAATGTCCAAATGGAAGACTTGGACAGACGGAGGATGTTGCGCCGGTTGTTGGGTTTTTGGCAGGTGATGCTTCTGAATGGGTTAATGGACAAGTCATTCGTGTCAATGGAGGCTATAACTGATCCTTTCTTCTCTCTTTTTTTTTCTTTTTTTTTTTCTTTTCAAATAGTAATAAAAATAAACATGCTAGCATGAAAATGGGGTGAGTGATATCTGTTTGGTTTCGGTGCAGTGTATGATGGTTGTTCCTCCCTTAATCAGATAATCAGAGGTTTCGAGTTTGAGCTTTGGGTATGGAAAAATTCTTGGCAGGGAACAGTACCCGAATGGGGCTCTTCTCGGTACGAATTCGAATATAATCGGGCTCCAATGCAGATACCGGACACCAGACGGGAAACCAAAAAAAGATATCTGTCTGGTTTTAATTTGTGTCATTTTGTTTGGTTTTGAATTATTACATAAATGACTTATTTGGAGTATTATATATGGTAAGAAAATCAAATCTTGAAACTAACTTTGACGATTATTTTTTAAGTTTACGGCTTAATTTACGGACTACAAAATTTCGAAAGAGACAAAGGTATATAGACATGGTTTTTGAGTATTACAGATTACATGCCAATTTTGCCATGCTAGTTATGTAAAGTTAAGAAATTTATTTTTATCGTTTAACGAAAGTGTAGAAAATTTTCATTCCAGTAGAAATAGAGATATTGTTTCGACCAAAAGAAAAATCTCTAAATCTGTCACTTTCTAGTTTCTTATACAATTAGTGCGGTTAGGCCCGGCAAAGCCCGTGCCAACGACTATATGTCTATATGAGCATTTCGTGTTTAACTATACAACTATTTAATGCTTCTCTGCTCATTTCTAGTGGTAACTAGTAGTCGTACTTGCGTTGCGCGCGGTTAATATTAAAAAAAGTATTAATTAAATTAAAGTATGATTGGGCTTATTTGATTCTATTAGATCGGATTGTTTTAATAAATTTTAATTGTCATATTATTTGTCAATACGATATACCCAATAATAAAATCTCTATTAAATTAAAAGTACTTATATAGTCAGTGAATAACTTTTTTTTCTATATTTTTCTTTATTATATTATTCAATGTTTAGTATTATTACATTATTAATAGAAATTTTTATTAGTATATTATTTTGTTTACTATTTTTTTCTGCTCGCTTTCTTTTTGTAATATAAGAGAAGATATATAATTTATTACTGTTGAAATATTTTTTTACTTTAAATGTTATTCTGTTTTTCTTAATAATATTATCTAAATTTTAATGAATAAAATCTCTATTAAACTAAAGGGGCTTATAAAGGTAGCGACTAACTTTTTTGTTATGTATTTTTCTTTATTATATCATCCAATATTTAGTATTATTATATTATTAATAGAAATTTTTATTAGCATATTACTTTATTTAATATTTTTCTCTACTACTTTGTTTTTGTAATATAATAGAAGATATATTTATTTTATTACTCTTGAAATAATTTTTATCTTAAATTTTATTTGATTGTTCTCAATAATATTGATCGATTTTAATGAACAAATTCTCAATTAAATTAAAATGACTTATCTAGTCATCCAATAACTTTTTTGTTATGTATTTATCTTTATTATATCATCTATGTTTAGTAGTCAATTTTAGGTAGTTAATTTCGTTGTGTCTTTTTTATCATTTTTTTATATAAATAATTTTTGAATATCCAAATTTGTTGGAGTTTTGTCCTAAAATTTGTCACTTTGTTAATTTTTTGATGTTACATTTGGAATTATCACAATGATTTGCTTCCCCTATTCTATATAAATAGAATAGATATTGTCTGAATTTTAATGAATAAAATCTCTATTAAATTAAAAGGACTTATATAGTAATCAAAAACTTTTTGCTATGTATTTTTGTTTATTATATTATCTAATGTTTAATATAATTATATTGATAATAGAAATTATTAGCATATTATTTGCTTAATATTTTTTTCTGTTAATTCTTTTTGTAATATAATAGATATATATATTTTATTACTCTTGAAAATACTTTTTTAATTTTTAATTTTATTATATTTTTCTTAATAATATTGTTTGAATTTTAATGAATAAATAAACTTTTTATTTCATAAAAGAAAAACAAAAATGATTTTAAAAAATGAAATAAAGAAATTAACTAACCTAAACCAACCCTCACCCATGTTTAAGTAGTTAATTTAGGTAGTTAATTTTTTTGTAAATTTTTAATAGATAATTTCTTTGTTATTAACTAATTATGTCATGTGGCTTTTTTTTCTAGGCTACCACTTGGATAAATGTGGTACTTTTTTCTTTGGCTTTTAATAATATATAGATATAGATATAGATATAAATATTGATTTGAATTAGCAATTTTTTATTTTTTATTTCGATTTTTATTATAAAATAATTTTAAAGTTCCAACTTTGTTGTAGCTTTGTCCTAAAAATCTACACTATACACACACACACACCACAATATTAGAAAGAAACTACTCCACAATTTTAATCAAAAGGTTTTTTTATTTCTTTATTTTCGTTTTTTTATTTTAAAATAATTTTAAACTACAACTTGAAACTACTCCCTAATTTGAATTGGTAATTTTTTATTTTTTTTATTTTATTTTTTATTGTCTTTGAGCCGAAGGTCTCCCGGAAACAGCCTTTATATCCTCTCTGGGACAGGGGTAAGGTCTGCGTACAGTCTACCCTCCCCAGACTCCACTGGTGGAATTTTACTAGGTTGTTGTTGTTGTGTCATTCTTTATTTTAAAACTCCAACTTGAAACTTCTCCCTGATTTGAATAGGTAATTTTTTTCTTTTTTTTTTCATTTTTTTATTATAGCTAATTTTTTTTATTTAAAAATAATTTTTTTAACTCCAACTTGAAACTACTCCAACCTAATTTGAATGGGTAGTTATTTTTTTATGTATTTACATTTTCGTTTTTTTTATTATAGCTAATTATGAGATATCTATATTTATTAATTCAAATAAAGTAAT